ATAAACGTCACTCCGGTCACTCATTAACAGATCGCCTGAGAAGGAAATAAACGTTGCAACATTCGAACGAAACTAGCTTCATTAACACCTTAAAGTATTTTAACTTTGTAAGAAATACAGTAAAGGTACATACTTTCGTCTATTAAATTGTATAAGCAATTATATATATATATTTGTGCGTATACAAATAAATAAATCATATAATAAATTGCCTTGTGGTTACGCTGTGCTGACGCTGAAAGACGCAATTGGTGTCACGTGACAACCAATTTCCTCTTGCGCCTTCATTTTTAACGACAACGTGATATCTATAGTTCGATATTATAATATCTTTCTGCAGGTACCGGGGTGCAGTGTGTAATGGGAGCTGTTTTGTCCGCACCTATCGCCATAAAATTGCACACTTAATCGCACAACTTAATTCCCCATTTACTTTGGTGTAATAGCTATGATAGCAGACGAGAGCGATAAGCTCGTCGTTACTTTGTTACACAAATAAGTTATACACGATATGTAATAATTAATCATTCAACACTACGTTTCTTCAATTATAAAAATAACTTTCTTGCGTCCATCGCCTGTTTAGGGTAATTTTTAATTTAAATCTTAAAATGTAATCAAGTGTGATTATGTTGATTTTTTATGCCAACTTTTTATTTCGAGAGTCTAAGATATGCACTGATGTATATTGCATATAAAGTATTCACAAATTGTATTTTTTCTGGAATTTTATGATGTTAATAAATAAATTATTTATTAAAAATATTTAAAAATTAAATTTTAAATACTAAATACCAAATACTAGCGATACTATCTACGCCATCTTGTGCTGCATCATACAGGCTGCAACTGCATTCGCAAGATGTGGCGGCCTCTGCTAGAATGAGACGGAAACACTTATTATAGTCTGCTTTCAAGAGAAATATTGACCCATTCTAGAACCTGTAACTTGATGCATACTTTGTATTTGATATTTATTTTTACGTAAATTTTAGAATAAAATATACATAAATTATATTTTTCTATATACATAAAGTTATTATTTACTATTTACTATTCATTAATATAACATTTAAATTTTTTATTGTAATTAAAATTAATTAATATAAAAATAATGTGTGTCACATCTTAGCTATTATTAGAAAAAGAACAATTTTTCTCTGATAAATATAGCAATGTAATTAAGAATGATTGCAGTTTTACACATGCGCGAATGTCAAAAATATCTCATAAAGTTGCCTCGTTAATCGAAGAATCATTGTCCCTTAGTATTCAAGATAAAATATGAAAAATAATAGTTTCAGACGATAAATCACAAACACTTTCGATAGTGTTTTCGATCCGCAAGATCCTTCTTTATCGCAACAGTTTAACTCCGTCAAGTGCTGCGATCAATTTGCATGATCTACGATCCCGAACGCGATCAGACTCGACTCTCAATTATTCACCTAAGCAAGCCGTTCGCGACGACGTTCCCCTTTCGTCCAGGCGTCGACGTCTCTCAAGATGATTCGCACGGGGCACGCAATTAGCGTCCGCAAGCTGCTTAATAATATAACGGTCAATTTACCGCGATTAGTCGGCATAATGATAGCTCCCCCGGATAATTTATTGTTAATTATTCCCAGCTTGCTCTTTCTCTTTTGCATACGTATGTATATACATATGTGTCTGTCAGGCGCCGACAACTAAATTGACAACTAATTGAAATATTGTTCGCGCCCGTAATCAGAGGAAAAATTATCTTACCGCCGCGCGATAATGTTAGAGCTCGCGCGAGTACTTAAACTTCTCCTTCCTCTCTCACTCTCTGTCTATTCTTACTCCAACCCTTCCTCAATCGTTGCCGAGAATGGATTTTTTTACCCGATAATTAAATTATCCGGCCGGTCATCGTTAATCGTTAATAAAATGTATAAATCCCGGCTAAAATGGAAAATTTGACAAAAAAACATACCAAGATATTTATCAGTTGCCCAATCATCTATCTGGTTAAAAAAATAAATTAGGATTATTTTGGCCAGCATACATGTTTTAAGAATTTAATGTAAGAATCTATTTAAATGAGTATAATTCGGTAATAAACAAAATTAATTATGTAAAGTGTCAAATTTATCAAGATAATTATCAACTGTCAAAGCAAGTATTTTTTACATTCTGGTATTTATGAAATTCGTTGCTTCCAGCTGAAAAATCATTGCACATCTGTGACAAAAGTCCGCTAAGTGATCCAGAGTCTTGAGATCTCGTCCTTCTCGCTTTCTCCCTTCGCGAAGGCAAAACGAAAAGCCGTCGGAGCTGACATTATATCCGCACAAGGTGCGCATAAAGTCCCATGAATTATCGCGTGGCTCGGCACGCCGGATTTACGTGTTCGTAGAAGCAATGCTCCTGGTATGGCCGCGGGACGGCTAGAACTGCTTGATGTAGCCTATACTTACCATCACCGGAGATGATCTAGCCCTAGCCCAATCCCCACCGTAATCCGAATGGCGAAGGGGAAGCCGCAAACTCTCTTGTGTCTTGGGACTCACCTTCCTAGTCACTCGGCGAAACGTGTTTTGTCTTCAATTTGATATACCGTTCCTCTCCGGCTTGACTCTCTCGAACACATACTTTGGCCGCAAGTGACGACTTAGCTTAGCTTGTTACGACGAAGCCTTAAAACAACTTCGTTACCGTTTACGATACAGTTAGTGACATGATAGTATTTAGGATAAAGAATGAATTTCCCTGGTTAATGTGGAAGAAGGATATTCTCATTCTTCTCCTTCTCTGTATAATATTTTGCTTCTTGCGTGAAAAAATTCATTTGTTAGTTTATTAATATGAAATGCAAAGCAATATCCCAAACAACATCACGTCTAAAAACGGGACATAAGGCGTCTTAGAGATATCTTATTGACGTCTTAAAGACATATTTTAATATGATATCTAGAATACATCTTAATGACTCCTTTAAGACGTCTTAAAGGATATGTCCCAATTTTAAACGTTTTGTTGTCTGGGATATTAGCATCAGCAAAATTATTATCAGTCCCCATAAACAGCATCACATCCAAAATTGAGACATCTTATCATTTTGAACATTTTTCGATTTTGGTGTTACCTGGGTACTTTTTTATCAAGCTATATTAATGATTATAGCTTCTTCCAAATCATCGTTTCAATAATTGTATAATAATTAGTCCGAATACAATAAAATTCTTTGCTTCTTCGAGGTAGGCGGGATTATATTCTATCGTTCTAAGATTCATGGACACCCTATACAAACCTGACAATGATCTGGGCCTGTCGGTGGTGTGGTATTCCATGGGTAAAGACGCCTCGACCAATGGGATTGGAACGTGGGTGATTGCGATGGTGTGAGTCCTCTTCGTGGGTTTTGCGTGGGTTGCACGGCTTGCAGGATGCTGCATCTTTCAAAATGGTGGTTTCCCGAGACCGTATCTCTCGTAACCGCACTCTCTTTCGTACCGCCATTTCACGAAATCGCAGAACAATACTGTGAATACTGCACTTTGTTTTTCTCTTTTTTTCTTTACTTGTGCAACGTTTTCCGAGTACTCACGCTAGAAAATGACTTCCACAAAGAAGTTTCCTCTCGCCGACACTCGCGCATTAATATAATCGATAGATTTGAAAACATTGCGATGCAAAGAGAAATAAATGATCGACGAAAGATGTAAAAGGAAATGGTGGAATAAGTGATATTGTTTCCCGGGAACTCAGTTATAGCGTGGTGTGCGACGACTTATTGATTACTGATCGTACGATTAGATGCGAGTGGAAATTGCAACTGAAAAAGAGAACGCTTGGACGTTTTTAATATTGCATTATGACACATATGTAGTCATATATTTATTAAACGACCGGCTACATTTATCAAATTATTATGGGACTAAAAATTAATAAACGATATTAACAACCGCGAGATTGATTAATTGATTAATTTGATACTTCATCATGAACAGGCACACTTTAATACGGTTTCAAGTAACATATATTTATTAATAATTGCTATAAAATTACAAAATCTCTTAAGATGTCAGCGTAAAACATTTAATTAAATTCGATCTGTTAAGGCTAGAATATATCGATGATGAATGTAAAATCGGGCGCGCATTGTGAATTTTGATGAATATTCATGTTGTTGCTTACAGGGATAAACCGGATATCGAGAAAAATAGTGAAATGGTATATAAGAGTCTATTATTAACAAGGTGTCGAAAAGTATCCAATTTTGCGCGAAATAATTGATCACCGCGACGGCTGGGGATCAAGAATGCCGGACGATAAAAAATTTCGAGAGGGGGCAGCACGCGTTTAAGGGCTGGGGTAATTAAACGAGATCATCCGTGACTGGCGTTCCTGCGTGACCACCCCGGCAGCGAAATATTTCGCTCACAGTATATTCTCGAACAGGTTTCCGAGAATTTTTCTTGAATTTTAATTGCGACTTACACGTAGGTATATCGCGGCCGAGGCGGGGATATAGGTGGATAGGGCTCGCTCGTATAGATACGGAGCTCGCTATCGAGTGCGATCGTGATGTAATATGTACAAGCCGTGTGTAATGGGTGTGTCGAGATTAAACCGGACCGCCGGCGCCATTCCGGGTTCGCGTTCTAAAAAATAATTTCTTTTTTTTTCCCTGCTCTCTCCCTCCCAATCGCACTGTGACGCACGTATCTCCGCTATTTTCTCGTAACACGCGAGAACATTGTGAAATGTGCAAAAGTTTTTACGCGCAAATAAGCGGCCGTATGCGCTTATTTTGCACCGCAAGATGTTAGAAAGATTGCATCTGTAAAGAGGAATACATTTTGCGCCCCAGAAAAAATCAGGAACAGTTTGCCTGCAATTGTTCGCGTCTTGGAAAATTATTAACAATTATTATCAAGGATGTATAAATTGAAATTCGTGGAATGGATCTTAAATCGCTTCGTAATGCAAAAATTTTTATTTTTTGTAGATGTAATTTTATTAATGTCTATTATAATCATGTATTGCTCGAAGCGCGTACAATGATATATGTTTTTCAAGTGCACAACGTTGCACACAATTAATAGTCATATTCCGTTTTCATTTCCTCCGTTTCCTACCTACTCACGACGGAAACAACGAACGTAGTAATCTCGAGTTTGATTACAGAGAAATTTGCATATTATCTGATTAATTATGCATAATCATTAGGATTACCATCGGAATAAAGTTTTCCAGGATTATCTTCCAGCCGTGGTCATCTCAGCAAGACTGGCACAAGTGTTTTCGTTAAGCGAGGCACAAATCTGGAAGCAAATCGAATTATGATTGGTTTTTTATAACTCAAGTCCCCTCGTGATTTATTATGTCATTGAAAATCAAAATTGATCGGACACGTGAAAATCATGCAATATTCAACATAACGTGCTTCTAATTTAATTGCAAGTCACAGGTTGCCTATTTTGCGTCCGATTATTTTTAGCATCGTTACATGAAATTCGGATAAAGTTGACATCGATAAGTCGCACCGCGCGTTTCCGACATTTGTAAAAAAGAAGGGAAGAAAGGAAGAGAAAAAAAGGCAACTTTGCATGATGACTGATAAAAATACAATCGCTTCCTTTGCGCTCGCTAGATTACAATCGACCGAGGTAGTCGTGACTAGCCGCACTATCATTCGGGCTTCCCGCGGAAGCCAACTATAATATCACGACATTTTCGCGAGCAAGGTCTCTCTCTTTCTCTCTCTGGTACCGACAAAGTCGTCGCAAATTTGCAAATCTGTTTCTTCGGCGTTCTAAATTTAAATCTAACAAAACTGAAAGTTTACATGCTACACTGTGTGTTATTCTACTATAAATACTTGTCATTATTCAGAGCTACTTTATCGTTCCGCACGCAGTTACGACTTTATCGAATTTACGTTATGGCTCGCATTAACATACTTTCCTGTCGTGATCAATTAGAGATAAGCGCCGAGATAAATGAGTTAGGTAATTAAGTGGCCACTTTAATCAATTTTTCTAATCCACAATTTTCTCCCAACTCTATTGCTTTCAAGAATAATTCATATAAATCATATTGACGCGTTTGAATTTTATTTCTTTGAACATACCTATGTATTTCTTAAATTTTATTCTTTTTTCTCTCCACGACGCGAATTCTCCTTATTGGCGGAGTTTAGATTCGATTATACCGATGCAAATTCTAACACGTAGTTCTCTCTCTTTCTCTCATGTGTTACTGCGATTAGGATCGAGCGAGGTGGTCGTGACTACCAGCACTATCGCTGAAACTCCCTGTAGAAACACTACCAATACTTGTAGGTTCTCAGGCAAGGTCTTCTCCATGTCGGTTCCTTGGAAACAATTACGCCTCGTAGGTTATAATAACGTACCATTCCTCTAGAATCGTACGTTGTGTACATATATACACGTGTGGATATGCCGTGCGCAAACATATACATGTATACAATGTACTGTATAGATGAGCTGCGCTTTATCGCGAGTGCGTACTAGAAGACGGATGGCCTCGTAAATCTATTGGCAGTGTGTTCTCTCATTTTCGCAATTCTACTTGCTTCTTTTCTAACGGGCTAGGCCACCTAAAAGCCTATTCGTCTCGAGATTTATCGCCTGTGCGTTAAAATGCCGACGGCAACCAAAGACGCTCCGGAAAATCATCATTGGTACTCGACATCGTCTTAACAGCTACTCAAAATGATGGAAAGAAACTTATTTTTATTTTATTCGGGCTTTATAAAAATGTAATGCAAAAACACACTAGCGGTCACGTGAACTATCATAAATGGCCGTCGCGAATATACATCTAACATTATCTTGTTATATTATTTGAAAAATTAATTAATAATGTTCCAGTCATCATATGAGATTCTTACGTCAAGACACTTATTTGTAGACATAAGGAATATAAATCTATTCTTTCTTGACTTTTCATATAGTTACACCGCACATAATAATCATATTTCTTGTAAAGGTGTAGCTTTTGTATAATCAGAATGTGTCTAGCCGCAATGACAAGTTTTTCATTTCAAAAATTTATCTTTACACTTGTACAAAAACTGTTATTGTATATTCGCGGCGGCCATATTTGTTTTGCTTCAGGAGCGCCTCTTATCGCGGTGGACGTTTCTTTCGCCAATAGTAAAATAAAATGTATGTATTGTATTTTTTGTGTCGTGTGAATGAGATAATTACAATCTCTCTCTCTCTCTCTCTCTGAGATTGATGTTACAAATTTTAGCATTAAAAAAATTTATCTTTACACTTGTACAAAAACTGTTGTATATTCGCGGCGGCCATATTTGTTTTGCTTCGGGAGCGCCTCTTATCGCGGTGGACGTTTCTTTCGCCAATAGTAAAATAAAATGTATGTATTGTATTTTTTGTGTCGTGTGAATGAGATAATTACAATCTCTCTCTCTCTCTCTGAGATTGGTATTAAAAATTTTAGCAACGTTACCAAGGCGTTCCTCGGAAACAATGAGCAATTATCATTGAATAACAATAGAGTTACTTTCTTTCCGTCAATAATCATCCGAGTTTCTATCCCAAGCCATTTACGTAATACCTATCTAAGTAAGAAGAATTACAATTGCAAAAGTTCGTGACATTTATCAAACCGAATGAATATGATATATACCTATGAATATATGATACCTCTTCGCGTCGCAGCTCGGAGAGGCGGTTAATTCGCGTAAAGTTAAAAGGATTACGCGAGTCCTTTGGTATTCGATGCTGTACGTGTTACAATCTTCGCGAACTGTCACATATTGTTATTTACTATCGCGTGTGTGTATGCGTCACGATTCTCTCAATAATTATCGAACGCAATAACGCACACATCAGGCCTCGCTTCGAATGTATCATTCGTGACATTTAGCCGGCCGTTTCTTTCTGTCTTTTCTCGTGCAAGGGTTTCAGCGCGATGTATAATTTGCCGTGTATCATTTTTACGTTTGACGTTTCTCTACTTATAATGCTTCGACAAACGTAGGATCATTGCATTGTCCAACGACGGATATATTATTGGCGTAATGACGCGGACCGGCTGTCAAAACTCGCATCTTCTACCCCTTCGAGAATGATGAAATTCATAGAATTGAGTCCCTCTGTCTGTGACATGACATACCTGTCGTACGTCATGTGTGGAGCGTGCGTGGTCGTCGCATGTTGGCGACAATTTTCGAAAAACATTATGGGGTAGCTCCTCTTTCCCTCATTCTCCCCGTGCCAGTCTGAAAAATAATCGGGCAAGTGCTGATCAATGTTTCGTAAAAAAAAGAAGCGACAGATATGCTTAAAATATGTTTAACCCATAGCCGATTATTTTATATTAATATTATTTTATGTGTTAATTATTTTATATTATTTTATATTAATAATATTATTAAATATAGTATTTTATATACATATACAGGTTTGACATATAAGGTTGTCACATCGAAAATATATAAGTAGGTTTTGTTATTCGGAGACAATTTTTCCTCAGCAAAAATATTGAGGCATCGATCATTTTTTCGCAAACTATATTTTGTACAAATAAAATATTAACAAACCACATTCGCCAATTAATTTCAAGTATACTTTGATAAAATTTTAATTTAAGATTTAGTTATAAAAAGATACACGATGGCAAAAATTGAAAACATGCAAAAAATGATGGCCTTCGACATTTTGCCGAAGAAAAATCGTCTTCCAATAACGAGATCTACTTGTATATTTTCAGTGCGACACCTATATACATATATCGGTTCTCAAGCAATTTATTTTTACTTCTCGAGCAAGATATTTCTATTTCTCCTTTTTCGTTCGACATTCTAAGGAATTTCGAGACTCCTTCGTCTCGTTCCACGAGCTAGACGCATTCTTGGCCGTCGCGTTTCGACCCCCATATTTTCGCAGACACGCACTCCCGAAGAATATCCCTCGCGTCGATGCTGCTGTCGACGGCGGAGAGAGATAAATCCTCCCTCTCGCTTCTCACAGCTCGCTTTCTCAAGCTGACACTCGCGAATTAACAGATCGCACGGTGGCAATTAAACTCTCCTCTCTCTCCTCTCGAAGAGACTCGAACGTACGGACGGTTCCCATGGTTGCGCCACGGTGTGTCCACGTTCGGGAAGAAACGGCGGGCGAGTAATAAAAGAACACACGAGAGAGAGAGGGATGAGTATCATCGGCAACCCTATGGCGTGCGGTGCGCGCGAGGTTGGATCTCTTCTAGTTGCGGCGGGGTCGTGAGACCATCGAAAAAAAGAGAAGAAGAAGAAGAGGAAGCCGCGAGAGAAGAAGAACTCTCGGCGGAGAAGATGATGCTGCGTCGATGCTGCGCGCAGAGGGCAATATTTACGAGAGGGGTTGGGTTCTGCGAGTTTCTCAGCCACGGAACGTAATTGCACCGGCCGGGGTACTCTGATTTATTGGATTATTACCGATCTCGGCGCAAAAAGAGCGCGTGGTGTATGGGCTTTCTCGCCCGCGCGACCGGTCCTTCGCGATCTCTTTCTGAGCAAAATGGCCGGGTGGAAAGAATGCGTCGGATATGCGCGTGTGGTTGCCAGTTTAGAATTTATCAAGATCTGCTTATAAGATTATGCTGTGAAAATTTTGGTGTTGCCAAAAAAGAAAAATGCGAGAACTAAATTATTCGATGTAAAAAAACTGTGAAGTCACCAGATGATAATTAAAAAATGGTAGTAATTTAATCAACCAATTCCGGTAAATTAAGTGATCTTTATTCACGACGTTTTGGCCATGGGTTTTACAATAATATAGTTAATTGTTTCACATTATCGATTTATTATATCTTGTCACATTGTAAGATCAATAATTAAGGTTTTTTAAAAAAGGTTTGTGTTTTAGGTAGGTTTACATATTAATGTGTGGAAATATTTATCGTTTTATTATAGTTACTTTGTTACTTTTTAATTTTTTAATTTTCTAACAATTGTCGTTATTATATATTATAGCACTTGATAAGGGTCGAAACGTCCTGAATAAAGATCACTTAATTTGCCAGAATTGGTTGATTAAATTACTACCATTTTTTAAATTATTCAATATTTATGTATCAGACTTATAATCGTACAGAGAAGATACTAATTGACGTTATGCTTATTCAAGGTGTCCTCCGTATTTAGCAAACTACTGATATAGAATTAGATTCCCGACGTCATTTGGAGACGATTTTTTCTCAGCGAAAATGTTGAGAGAAGTCATCAGTTTTTACATGTTCCCAATTTTTGCCAGCATGTTCTTTCACTGAAAAATTAATTTATTGAATTCGAATAAGTAATTATTTCAATATACTGCCAAACAAATCATTTATTTGAAACTAATAATATTGATTTAATGTGAAAAATATTTATTTAATATAAGAAAATTCTCTTCAAAATAAATAAATATTTATTGATTTAATACTTTTTTTAGTATTGTAACTTGACCCTTAAATTAAAATTCTATTAAAATAAACTCTACCTGAAATTAATTAAAATTGATTTTATTAATATTTTATTTCCATAAGACCTAGTTTGCGAAACACTCTTTATTGTTAATTGCTTATAACTCGAAAATTATTGGTACTTCGATATTTTCCCTGAGGAAAAATTGTCTTCAAATGACATCAGGAATATACTGTAAATCAATGATTCACTGAGCACCCTGTATACCTATTCGTAGCCCTCTTGATGACAGTTGAATGATGAAAATTACAGAGCTATTAAATCATATTGTGACATTTATTACCTCTGAATAATATCATATCGTTTAACTATGTACTCTATCTTCCTTGATTGCATTCAATGTATGTTTTATACTTGACCGATCTCTAGCTAATCAAATATAAAAATGATTGCAATAAAGTCTCTCGATCCAAAGACAAGTCCACATGATAATATACCAATTATACTATATATAATATCATCCTAAAAAAGTAATCATCCTAAAAAAATAAATTATTAGTTTCCTTCCTCTGAATTTTTACGGTGATCTATATATCTCGCGTCGATTTTTGCACAATAATTATAAGTTATAAAATATATCTTTCTTTTTACCGGCACCAGCTTGCATCTTACATGAAGCATCACGAAAGGTCTAAGTACCGGCGTATAAAAAATGGAACGGAGTTGCGTCTGCCTAACATCAAATCTCGCATTGCGGCGCGTACGCCTTCGCTTTTACACGTGGCAAATAAAACCAAGAGCCAGTCGACATCGAAATTATACGTATATGGCATTGATGTATGGCCGAGCGGGTTTTGATAGACCCGACGGAGCCTTGCGGCCGAGTTATAATCGCGCCCCATCGCATCGTTTTCTCGCCAAGCCGGAATCCTCTATTTTGAAGCCGTGCCGTGTGGCGAACGTTAACGTCTGATTTCGTACCGTCGAAAAATTAAACGAGATTATTGGATTTTCATCCCCTTGCTACCCCTTTAGATCGTAATTATTATAGCTCTTTTTTATTTTGCGTTGGGATTTATTTTAACTACCCACATTTTTGCATTTATTTATTGAGTGTTATAAAATACTTGTTTTTTTTATAATGTAATATATTATATTATTAATAATTAATAATTATATACAATTTACATATTTAAATTTTGACACTTATTACGCCAGCTATTTGACATAAGAAATGTCATGTCGATATAACCAGTATTTATAACTTTGCAGTAGTGTATTAAATACTGTTTCATACGATATTTTAAAATGTGTATATCGTATCTCGCGTGCCGCGACGGTAGTAAATATTTAATTAATTAAGCACGAGTTGATTATTATATTTTTCTGCGACGAAAATTGTCAGTCAATTTGTCAACAGACGTTCTTATAAATTTCCGCTTAATCGCCGAAAACATTCTCGTATAGATATATACACGCGTGTGCAAGTAAATATATTCCCTGATTCGTATTCTTAGCTTCATTCTCGATCTTAGGGTGACCTGGGGACTCGGTTGCACGTGCTGCTGCACATAAATCAGGCTGAAATATTTTAATCCGTCGCGTGATATAAGAAATGAGTATGATGAATTTTCGAGGCGTCGCTGATTCGCGAATTCCGATACAAAGTTGCTTTTTGCCTGCGTGCCTAGCCGGTCGGGAATGGGTTGAAGCAGAACCTCGGCCTCGGAATATAAATCTTCCGCCGACAGATGTACCGCCCTCGACGTTCTGCATCGACCAACCAACCGACCAGAATTTCTGAGAGTAACGCCCTGAAAAACCAGAACTCGCCTTGGATACCCATTGCATTTGCATGTCATTTCGAGAGCGAGACTGCACCCCGAGACCAAGAGCAGCCAAGAAATGCAAGAAAAAAACTCTGCGCGCGCGATTTTTTTCATCACTTTCCAGCTCGAGAAATTTATTATTTCCCCAATTTACATACAACGTCGCACGAGGTAATGCATATTTTGTCCAGTAAGCTTCATCTACAAACTGTTAGCCAGAATTACCCTAATTGTTTCTTAATATTTCACAATTTTTATTTTTAATCTGGTAATCGATTTTCTGTTGAGTTTTTAAATCCAAACAAATTTTTGATCGCCTGAAAGTATCAATCAAGAATAAGTTTTGTATAGCTAATCATGAAGAGAAGCTGAAGTTATACATTGAAGAATCATGATGCAATTTTACGAATTTAATAGAATTAATGAAATAAATATCATTAAGAAAAATTGAAGTTTTCAAACTTTGTGATACATGTACTCGCATTCGTAATGATTCACGTCGTCGGCGAAACACATAGTATGCAGCGATAGATCGTCTTGGCATCTCATGTGCACCCTCGACTGCACACGCACACCGATATATGATGCATAACGAGTTTTCCTTCCTCGAGGATACGTGGATGCTAGCCTGACACGCGATCCTGCAAAGATGGCGAACATCTCGAATCGCATACTTAAGCTTTTGATCCGAACAGTGTAATTCTCAGAACGTTCAAGGTGATAAAATATTTACAGGCATCTATATATAATTTGTATAAAAAATTAATAAAGTAAAAATGTATAGAAAAAATAGTTGATGTTGCATAGAAAAAGATCTTCGAAAAGAATGAATATTCTCCAAAACATTTCAAATAGGGAAATAACTGATATGAAGAATAAACTGATATATGAAGAAGTAATCAATCTAAATTTTAATAGCCTTTGTTCCACGAAGCACGTTATACTCTAGTGGAGAATTCTGTATCGTTGCCGACGTTCTTTTCGCGCCGATAGCGCGGAATCTCG